CCTGAGCTCCCGCAGAAGGGCCCCAGTTGGTGCATGTCCAACTGCAGCTGCAGAGTCTGGCCCGGAAAATGCTGCACCAGGATCCTTTGCTCGCCCGGCTCTTGGCTCTTCCTGTAACCCCGGCGACCCTTTGCTAAGCCCTGGGGGAAGTGATTTGGCCCCCACAGCCAGCGTGCACAGTTGCCAGCTCTTCGTATAGCGAGCTGTTTGAAAGCTTCTCCTGGCTGTTGGCTCTGCTCTGGTTCCCATAATAACCTTGGATGGAATACGAGGAATGAGATTGTTCGTGTGCACTTTTGTCTGAACAAAAGATTAGGAAGGTTAAAAAAAGTATGTGAGGGATGGCAAGAACCATGTCGACTAAGGAGCGATTTCCTTCTTCGTACTTCATTCCAAAACTCTTGGGATATATGGATTGCTTAAGTGTCCTGGTGACATTTGGGAAAGAATGTGTTCTTGCAGAGAAAGAATGGCCGCGAGTTCAGATTGCTGTATCCGTTCCCAGGAACACGAGGGGTCACCCAGTGACACGGGCAAGTCAGTTACCATCAGGGCCTCAACCTCCCCGTCTGTGGGATGGACATACAGGGCGGGCACGTGGGGGAGCGGCCTGGGGGCGGGTCGCTTCACATCTGCTGGGAGCGGCTTGCTCCAGTGACCTGGGGAGCGCAGGCCCGGGCGGGCCTCCTTTCTGTCTCTGGCCCTCGTGCTGACTCAGTGAGAAGCTGCTAGGGACCAGCAGGTCTGGCTCTCGTCCGCGGCGCATTCCGGGATGATTATGAGAACTGCAACATCTTATCTTTGCTGGTCTCCTAGCAATTCTGCCAAAGTGAACTAAGCACTAAAAGTACTCCCGCCGACGCAGGAGAGGGCATTACGTCGAAATGCCGTTCTCCTTCCCTTCTTAGCTCGTGTTGGGCTACTTGGGGGACGCAGTTGGACATCTATTTTCCTAGCCAGTGGTTTGCGGGCCAGTTCAATTCTCGTGTGCTATTTTTTTGTGGTCCTTTCTGTTTTTGTTTGTTTGTTTGTTTGTTTGTTTTTGAGAGATTTTCACTATAGGGCACGTGCGCTCACCAGACAGACAAAGAGAGACAGAGAGACAGAAAGCGAGAAATCACCCCCCAGAGGGGATGGTCACGCCGCAATCCCTTCACCTCCATTCTCCTCTCGGGATCTTGGGCACACATGCACACGCGCCCGGTGTGAGTTTTAAGCCACCGGGTCCAGGACGCGAACCGCGGTCAACTACGTGGAAGTCCAGCGACATAGCCATTACGCTAACTGCTGGTTCCCCTTTCTGTTGGTTTGAAATGATGACTTCTTGGTCACCTGTATTTGGTGGCCATCTTGCGAGGTGGCAGAGTACCCTTCCCTGCTGCCCTGCAGGACGAAGTCGATTCCCACCCTGTTCACTTCATATTTCCGGGCTCCAGAGAGGCGCAGCGGTCAACTCGCCATTCATAACACCTCTGTGCTCGCAGAAATGCCCCACTGAGTGGCTTGGGAAGAAGGTGACCGTGGACGTCCTGACCATGCGTCCCTTCAGCTGGAGATGGAGAAAAGCTTTAAGCCTCTCCCGGGATGTGCTGTCTGGGGTAAAGCGTACGCTACGTGATGTGTAGGCTACCAGTTCAGTTTTACTCTGCTCTCATGCAGCTTCGCCGAAAGGCCTGCACACCGACTAACCCTGACTGTACGCTCCCAATCTGCCTTCTGTTGGTAAAGCAGTTCTTACCAGTTACTTTATCTACGGCCTTTGTATCATAACATTGCCTTAAAGTCCACAGGCTCTAGAGAAAATAGGCTTTCTCTATGTCTTATCCCAATTCAGGTGTTTTCTGTTGGCAATCCGGACACTGCAGTCCTCGTGTTCACTCACTGGGTCCTGGCTTCCCGGTGGCCGCAGGATGGACCTTTCCAGTCTCACCTTAGGGCCTCATTCCTGGACCATCGCCTGGCTGCGCCCCACCCCACTGCCTCCTGAGGCCCAGCGCTCTGCCCCTCCAGCTGGCTCTTGCCCGCCCTCTCCTGCTCCTCCCAGCCCTGCCCTGCCCTCCCAGGCTGGTGAGGCCCACGCAGTGCCTCTGGGCCCACTCGCTTCCTCTCGAATGGGCCTGTGCCGCGAATTCCATGCGTTTGTCCTCTGAACAGCATTCCTTATTTAAGATAATGTTTCTTATTTCCCTTTTCTCCATGGGAACGCAGCCCATAATCGAACTTCAGCCCTACCTTTGCAAAAAAGAGTGACTAAAAGACACGCTTTGCTGAGCCAGCCCAGCCCGGTGGGGTGCCCGAGGAAGTCGCAGCCTCTGTGCTAAACCCCAACTGCACTGCGGGTCCCACCTGCCACCTCTCCTTGAGACAATCGCCACTGGAGCTCAGAGCCTGACTCGCAGCGCTGTCCCCTGAGGACGAGAGCGGGCTGTGAACCGACCGAAATGGCCGTTCAGTGAGCGAAAGAGCCACTGCTTCCTACTTCCTAGGCCCCACAAGTGCTTGGGAAGTGCAGCACAGTGCTAGGTGCTAGGTGCTAGGTGGCACGTGCGAAGACCCTGCCCTCAGGGCTTTGAGAGCAGCCGCCCAGAGCAGGCCGCGCCTTGCCTTGCGGGCTCACTGCGAGCCATGGGCTGGTACTGAGCAATGGGCCCCAGAGAACCAGGCCGATGGGTGGACAGACAGACAGACAGAAGGAGGGGACTCGTTACGGGAAACCGTGGAGGCCGAGAGGCCCGCGACTGCCGCCGGCAAGCTGGAGAAGGGAGAAGC